CCCCCCCCCCCCCCCCCCCCCCCCGTCTCTCTTCCCCAGCTGCATGGCGACGTGTGCCTGCAGATGCCTTATCGCTATCGCATAACCGACCACAATACGACCACGATGGCGGGCATCGTGGGGACGCTGGCATCCATTGCCTCGATACTGCTCAACGTCAGCCCAGCCCGGGATGTTTGGGGTGAGTGAGCCGTCGAGGCCTTAAAAAGAGCAACAATCTCCGCAAGCATCACGCGGTACTAGTCTGAAGTCATTCGTCCGTCTTTTTGTGCTTGGACCGCTGTATTCCCTCACGGGTGGCAGCAGGCAGGGTGACAGCAGTAGTAGCGTGTGGAAGAAAGTGCGAGGGCCTTTTTGCCGAACCTGGTGACACATCCAAAGGTGTGACTGTTTCTGCTGATGCTGCCAAGTGTCCAGGGCAACCTCCTCGCCTGCCTGCTGTGCTGGTTTGATTGCCTCCCAGACATAAACAAGACACGATCCGTGACGGAGCGGAGCATACTCCCGTACTGCATGATGATGGTGGACGGAGCGAATTGGTGAGCGAGCTGGTGATGGCGTAGAAAAATAATCGCAAGTACTTTGCCCTTCGAATGTTGAATGTTGTGGCGCTACTGCTGTGAGGACCGTTGCCGCGGGCAGTAACGGTACACTTCATAGTTGCACTGATCGCAAGCGCCTTCTCACACACTGATGCTGTGGTAGCCTCTCCAACCGTTTAGTCTTTCAGTGATTGCACTTAAATTGTCTATTGTTGTCAGTGCTTGTCCCCTCGAATAGCGCAGTGCGGAACGCTCCCGTGACACAGTATTGTAGCACTTGCCAGGTACAGGTTATCCGTCTTCCGGTGTCCTCAACGCAGATTCTCCTGACATTTTTCTCTGTCTCTGTCTCTGTCTCTCTCTCTCCCCGCCCCCCTCTCCCTCCCTCCTTCCTCCCCCCCAACCCTCCGGTGTTTGTCTGTCGCCGGCAACAAAAACACTCCTCTCTCTCCTCCTGCCCTCTGCAGGGTTGTGTACGCCTCGTTGATTGATGACGTTTTCCCCATAGGGTTCACCAATGCCTTCGGCTTCGTGGCCGGGAGCACCTACTCCGCCGTCTACCTACGAAACTGCTGGCACGACAAACGCGAGCGCGTGCGGCGCGACGCGTGGAGAATCTTCGCCGGAGCCGTCTCGATTATAGGGTGAGTCCGTTTAGCGGTATTTGGGAATGATTCGTACCAAGAATCTGGGCGAACGCTAGACCTTCTGTACATATGCCGGTACAAAAAGTACGTACTTCGAAGCACGTATACCTGCTTGCTAAACGTCATCCTTTTCGTGGTTTAGCTGCTGCGGACGTGCGTGTACATCGACAGATAGAGTGGTGAGATCATAAGCTGGTGGGTGAGACTGTCTCCCGTCGCCGTTCTTCCTGCCCCCCGCCGCTTTCCTTTCGGCATATTTTGTTGTTGCAGGGTGTACCGTAGGTTGCATAAGATACCACACCCGTGTGATAACATTTTCGGGGGGACAAACGTTATCACACGGGTGTGGTATCCTGTAGGGGGTGTGATATCTTATGTCACCCGTGTGATGAAGCGCCCTCACCAGACCCGGCTTACAGGGGGTGTGATAACAATGGGGTGTGATACCGTCGCCCGTGTGATGATGCGCGCTCACAGGACCCGGCCTGCCGGGGGTGTGATAATGTCGCCCGAGTGATGCAGTGCGCTCAAAGGAGGCACCCACCTACAAAGGGTGTGAAGGGGTGTAAAACAGGTGTGATAGCTAGGGTGGCTCATACCACTCCATCACGTACATGCTTTCCCACGTGCATTTTCGCAGTATCCTTTGGAAATTCTTCGCACACACAACGAACAAGTAGTACCGATTCCTCATAGCGGTTGTGTCGGTGTTGTGTGCGACAAAACGACAGCACTCAGGTACCTGGACGACGCAACCACTTGCAAGACTTGCGTTCACCACTCAAGCTGGAACCACATAGGACGCAAGCAAGTGCCGGCTGCATATCAACCAAAGCTAGAAACCAAGAGGACAAGCGACTACCGAAATATATGACACACAGGACAAATTGGCTCTAATAGCAGCTTTGGTTGACCTGACCATGGCATGCAACTACGGTAGGTAGATACCAGACAAGACACTCAGTCTATGCAAACAACGTCCGCCCCCAGCAAGTCTTCCATGACCTCATCGTTGCCTTCGCCATCTCCCGAGCTGTCATCGTCGTCGATTTCCAACACCTCCAACAAGTCGACCATCTTCCCGCCTCCTCCGGTGGGCCAGCCCCCTCCACGCCGGCAGCGGCCGCGTCGCCGTCTACACGAAGTGGTTTCCCTTGGGCGTCGGAGTCGAGCTCCTTGTTGGCCCACGCCTCGTCCTCAGATCCATCGAAGGCAAGGNCAGCAAGTCTTCCATGACCTCATCGTTGCCTTCGCCATCTCCCGAGCTGTCATCGTCGTCGATTTCCAACACCTCCAACAAGTCGACCATCTTCCCGCCTCCTCCGGTGGGCCAGCCCCCTCCACGCCGGCAGCGGCCGCGTCGCCGTCTACACGAAGTGGTTTCCCTTGGGCGTCGGAGTCGAGCTCCTTGTTGGCCCACGCCTCGTCCTCAGATCCATCGAAGGCAAGGGTCATGCCAGCCTTCCTCCAGCTCGAACGAATGCTCTCAGGGTCCACTTCATCCGACGCTTTCTTCACCCACTGCGCGAGCAATCCCCTCGATGGGGGATCCGGGTAGCCGCGGTCGTTGCGTACGGCGTCGGTGGAGGCCATGCGGTTGTCGTACAGCCTGGACATGTTGGACTTGAACAGCTTGTTGATAAGTCCATCGCAAGGCTGGATCTTGGGCGTTAGGCCTCCGGGGACGAAAAACAGCGTCGTGCTGGACTTGTCCATCGCTTCCTTTCACAGGGCTGTCTTGTGCACGGTGTAATCGTCCCACGATAGAAGCGTGTCCGGCTGACGGTAGTTGCCCAGGACCCCATCGCGATCCGGGCGCCGGTTCCACACTTGGGGGAGCCAAACATCCCTGAAGACGCGCTGCGTGTGCCACGCCTTGTCGTCCACGGCGTACACAACGCTCTTGAGGGTATGCTATCCCCTTGTTGTCCTTGCCCACCTTGAACTCTCGTTCGATGCTGTTGGCAGCGGGGGTTTAACCCGGCGCCGTAGGCTTACCCTTAAAGATGAGCAGCGGCGGGAGTTTGCCGCCCTTCATGTTTGCTGCAAGCACGGCAACGATCCGCATTTTTTCCTTCCACCGGTTTTGATGGCCACCTCTTTCTGACCGGTGTGCTGCGAACGNTTGAGGGTATGCTATCCCCTTGTTGTCCTTGCCCACCTTGAACTCTCGTTCGATGCTGTTGGCAGCGGGGGTTTAACCCGGCGCCGTAGGCTTACCCTTAAAGATGAGCAGCGGCGGGAGTTTGCCGCCCTTCATGTTTGCTGCAAGCACGGCAACGATCCGCATTTTTTCCTTCCACCGGTTTTGATGGCCACCTCTTTCTGACCGGTGTGCTGCGAACGACAAAAATAAAAAGCAAAAAGCAATGGAGAAAGCAGAGGCGACGAAAAAAGTCGATTTTATAGATGAGAATGACAGCTCTTCACGCACAAAGTGACGTATAGGTTTTGCGGTACAGTGATGATGGAAGCGAATGGTAAGAAAGTTGTAGCCCGACAAAAGCACAATACCAACGTCGTCTAGCCTTACTGACTGGACACTGAGTAGGTATGCGGCAAGAAATATGGCATCGCAATGCCCACTGTTTGCACGGAATGCGCAAAAACGATCAGACAGGCACATGATTCGAAGCAACACTTGTTGAACTCACCACCACGGTCGACGTGCCAGCGGGCTCCATCCACACAGCAGTTTCATCCATGCTGTAGCTCTGCTCCTCCTTAAACAACAGAGGTGGCTTCGAAGGCGCACTGCTTGTTGCACCGTCGATTCCTCCGTGACGAAGCGCCCTCCATTCCTTGACGGCGTTCATGGCAATCGCAGGCCACCCGGAAGGGAGTTTCCGACCTTGCCTGGTAACCGCCCGGAATGACAACCAGTTCTTCCTAAGAAACCTCCTGCACCAGTGAGTCTGCTTGTTGCGGTACTTTCTACTGCCCTCCAGGTCGTTCGAGTTGAGCGATACCGCCTTGTTCTTGATCATCCTTGTAGAGACGCGGGCAGAGATAGCTTCCGAACGAACATCGTTGATCCAGTCGAGAAGTTCGAGCTCGGCCTCAGCGTTTGACCTTACTCTCCCCGTGTTAAACGACTTCACGCTCCGGGCTTTTTTCTTGCCTTTGGCCCCGAGCTGGTCTGCCTGTTCCAGCTGCTTCTCGTAGTTCGTTCTGTGTTTTATCCACGCAGAGAGTGTGATCTTCTCGGGAATCCCAAGCACTCGTTGCGCATACAACACACCGATGGTTCCTTTAGGCCCCTGCGCCCCCGGGCTTTGCATGGTCGCGTTTTTATTTGAATTCCAAATCGTACCGCTTGCGTTCTGGCCACCACCAAACTCAATGGGGAAGTTTGGTGGCTCCAATTCCAGCGGCTCTCTTTTCCTCTTGCCCTTGCCCTTGCCCTCGGCCGGCGTGCCGTCGAAATGCCCACCGAAACCATCTGTCCACTCCTCTGAGTGTCCAGGAAACATGGTGTCGCCGACGGGCGCCGCTGCGGCTGCTGTCGTCGGTGCTTCAGGCAGGTGCATGTTCCTGAAAAGCGCATGAGTTCGAGGAAGCAACAAAGCATGTAGCATACGTGTCATGAAGTGCAGTGTCTGTAACAATGCGCTCGCTCCAACGACCATCAGACAAACGTACCAAAAATACGATGGCTAGCGGATAGCTCTGACAACGGCCACCGGTTTGAGAGTCATGGTGTCCACGCTTGCAAGGTACAGAGGGTGAGCAGCTGACGGCACCTATTTCGTATCTCACACAAACAGGCACGAACTGCTGTCGAGATTATGTTT